TATTAGGGTTGCAACTAACGATTATTTCAATAATAGATTCATCGGCCGATTATTTTTTCGATTAATCGATGAATCGGCAAAAAAAAAACACAACGTTTTAATTTCCACCCCTTTATTCCAAAATTGAACATTTGACTGACATAGCAATTCACACAAAAAACAGGTTGCTATTTTACTATTCTGTTAGTAAAATATTTAATAATAAAAAATAAAAGTTAGTCAAATAGCTTAAAAAAATAAATGTACACAAAAATATATAAAAATGTGTCTTTATACCTGCACAATATGTAGCTACTTTGTAAAATGTGTCATTGAGGGAAGAGTGTAACCTGGATTAAAAGTGTGGATTATTGTAACCTGGATTAAAAGTGTGGATTATTGTAGTGAAGCCTTCGTCTTCAACCATCGACAGAGGCCTCATGTCAGTGACGATCATGTTCAGGATGTTTCAGTGAAGACAGCTGCTGCTGTGGTGTCCAGGATGTCTGTCCATCATGAAGGCTTTTGTTGTTGTTGTTGTTTTCTGGAATGAGAGAGTAAATATGTATTATAACATAATTTACAGCAACTCAAGAAATGCCTTGTTTCACTTACAGCGTTAGGTTCAGGCAAAAGTAGCTAAAAGAGCAATTAAACACACACACACACATACATATATATAAAATACTTAATTACACACATTTGAGTAGATGTAATAAATTACTTTAATTACTGTTTAAATGCAATTCATCCTGCCATACGTGCAGTGTCTTCAGACTTTGCCAGCAAATTAAAAGTTGAAGCTTACTCATTAAATTATTATCTTTGTGTTAGATTTATTTATAATCACATTTAAACACTGCTTGTTCCAATTAAATTAAATAAAAAGTAACACACACGTTCTGTATCACCGCCATTAATCAGATAAACAAACAAACAGCAGCTTCAGCTACCAGAGAGACTGACGTTACGTTTTCTCTCTTGGAAACAGAACAATGTTATATTGTAGAGACTCACCTCTAACACGAGTTGGGAGTGAAACATGTATCAGCTGCAGCTCCTTCCTCCTCCTCGTGACTCCGACATGTTTACGTTTTATCTCCGTGGTTCTCTCGTGTCGTGTCGGTGATTTTCAAAGCGGCATGCTTCTCGTTTTTTATCTTTGTGAAGTTCTCCCACTCTTTGGAGGACTTGGGTCAGTCGGTCATTTGTAAAATTTACTTAAATTTGCTTTAAAAACAGCCTCTGCTCTGCTTCTTCCTCCCCCCTCGCTCTGTTCAACTCGAGCTGCAGTTTTTTTTTTTCAAACTTTATTCAGTCAGTCAGCATTGACAATGAACTGCCCGTGAACAAAACGAAACGGCTCCGCAGCGCTGTGAAAGACGCATAATCGCGCAACACAACGAATCGATAAAGAAATTCGTTGCCAACGCTTTTACTCATCGTTATCGATTTTATCGATCCGTTGTTGCAGCCCTAATATATATATATATATATAGAGAGAGAGAGAGAGAGAGAGAGAGAAAGAGAGGGATGGATGGATGGATGGATGGATGGATGGATTTAGATATACACATACATATGATATATAGACATACAAACATATATGATACTCTAGGATAGGGTTTAATGACTAGACTATCAGACAATAAAATATTATTTTATTGACGACATTTTTTAGTGAATATCAGCTAATTTAACTTTCTCTCTCCGGAGTGCACATCTGTGAATGACGGTACAGTTCAAATCTAAACCTGAACAAGCAGTAAAACATCTGGAGTGCATGCTAAACCACCTCATTTATTCCCAGCAACTTTTCTGTCAGTAACAGTGCTCAGGCTATTATCAGACACCCAGGGCTTAATTTGAGCTGGATCTTGCCGGAACAGTATCTGGGAACTCTCTTATTTTGACGGTGCCTTCTGGTAACTGTTTGCTTGGATCCAGAAACTCTCAGGCTTACTGATAATAAAGTTATGAACAAATTTGACTGCCTTGGACAAATAAAATTTATTGGGGCTGAGATGTTGTAGGGGCAGGGGAGCCGACTCGGGATCCGAAGGTCCTGGGTTCAATCTCTGGTCATTGCACATCTCATGGTGTCTCTGAGCAGGACACCCAATCCTGAATTGCTCCACAGGCACCTACATAGCTGCCCACTGCTCCACCTGAGTGTATCCCAGGTGTGATGGGTTAAATGCAAAGAGCCAATTTTGTCTTTGGGAACATACAATGATGACAACACATAGCACTTTATTTATTGATTTATTATAAAACCTATAATCTTGGCAGCATGACGGCTCAGTGGTTAGCACTGTTGCCTCACAGCAAAAAGGTCCTGAGTTCAATCTGGTTGGACCTGGGATCTTTCTGTGTAGAGTTTGCATGTTCTTCTCATGCTTGCGTGGGTTTTCTCCGGGTAATCCGGTTTCCTCCCACAGACCAAAAACATGCATGTTAGGCTGCCTTCAGGCCTCCCTTGCAAAAGAGATTTGTGATCTCAATGGGATTTGCCTGGTTACATAAAGGTTAATAACTATCTGAAAATAATAAAATAATAAAAAATAATTACGTAAACACTCATTTTAAACATAATAGCCACTTAAGAGCTTCTTAACGTCACATTAGAGCTTCCCCTTCAAGTGAAGCATTTCTGCTTCTACCCTTAAAAAAAACATCTGTCCCTAAAAGTACAGTCATGGGCAATTTTATTAAAAACGCAAAAATATAATTAAACAGCACAACTAAATTGCAAATAAGTTTTACAGTTTAAGTGGGTCATTAATAAAATGTTGATTATTTATTAAAAACATGAGATAAATGTTTGATGGGTAATCACGTGATGTACGTATCAAAATAATGGTGCCAATTTTTCAAAATAATTATCAAGTATCCTGATGCATGCTCAATAATCCAGGTAAAACAGCTATCAAGATGTCAAAAAGGCAGTCTAATTTACTTTCATTAAAAAAAGTCTTCTCATTGTACAACTAAACATCCTAGAATTGAAGCACATGAAGGCAGTGGCCATGGAAATACTGGAGCAGGTGGAGTGGTGGGGGTGAGAGCCGAGCTAACCATTGTTGCTCTCTAAAATGTTATTGAATCAACCATTTACTTGTGTTGGTAAACGCAGATGTTTAACAACCCAGTAAAGTACAACAGAATGAAGGAAATGGCATCTGTAGCTATGTTTACATGCGCAGAATTCTTTGACCGGATTGAAATGTGTTCTGTTTGAATAATTCAAATGTATTGTTTACATGGGCACAATCTGTTCATGATGAGCGTTTACATGCAGCGGGCTTTGTTCTGAACAGCAGTACTGACATGCGCAGAGTGGTAAACTCGCCTTAAAAAAAACACAGAAGAAGAAGTTCTACTTCCGGGTGAACGTAAACAAACCTGAGCACCCAACATGGACCCGCAACAGGTTTTAATGATGGTGGAGACGTTACTGCACTCCCTGACTGAGCTACAGGTAATAGAAATCATTTTGAGCTCTTTAAAAGTTTCTAGTAGAAATGTTGTGTCACTCACCGACCAGTTTTACTTCCCTGACATGCTAATATTATTAGCGTTAGCCAGGCGGAAATGGCAAAGTCGCACATGCGCAGTCAGGTCAGTTTTTCACCATCAGATAAAAAAGAACAGATCAAGTGTTTACATGCGCACCGATCGGGTTTCGGATCGGCGTAAACCACCCGTTTCGTTCTGATCACAAATTATATCAGATCGCGCCGAATACACAAAAAATAACCCGAACGGAGTGTTTACATGACACACTTTTATTCCGACCGGACATTTGATCCGGTTACTTATGTCCGTGTAAACATACCCTATTTTATTCCCCCCCCACACACTATTTGCTTTGCGTTATGGCATTGTTTTACAAACGAAGCACTGTGTGTGTGTGTGTGTGTGTGTGTGTGTGTGTGTGTGTGTGTGT